GAAACTTTCTAAAACGACGCTCATGTGCCGATGACATCTGGCTTTGAGGGGAACCTCAGGCCAGACATGGATGTGACCTTCCTGCAGCTCCACCTAATTTTACCCTTTGCAGCTTTTAGCTGTATGGATGTATTTGCACACTCAGCATTTTGGTTTCAGATATATTAAGGGGTTAATCGTGAATCCAGTCATACAGCCTGAGCACTGAGGACAGTTTACCGAATCTCGTATTGCATCAGTTTGCTTTTGGCTACATTGACAAGGTACTCTGAGTTAGTTATATGTTCATATTCTTTGCTCCCTGGACTTTCACTCTGCTAGAGAGGCGAGAACCAAAGACATCCATCATATAAAATGTGGAACTTCAGACCGGCTTGGTTAAGGAAGCAGACCAACAGCTGAAAAGTGTCCGTTGAGCTAATTTCATGACCCTTACTAGGGGCTTGAAGTTAATTTAGATGAAGGGTGTGGCTCAGCAGATTCTGCGGCGTGTTTTTAGTGGGGGGGGGGGGGGGGCTCTACCTCTTTGTGGGCGTCACTGGAAACACGGTTTGTGTAGCGCAGGACCTCCAACTCCATGTCCGTCTTAATCAGGCGACTGCGGGTGAAAGAAGAAGAACAGCGTGGGACTGGGGCTGAGGCCGGAGTCTATTCCTCTCACTCTCCATTAGACAAGCAGACCCATCATTTCCACACATTTTATATCAGATGACAGTCATATGACCTCCTCCTCCGGCCAATCAGGACTGGCTTTGCCGTCGTCCCACTCAGCAGGTAAATGCATGACACACAGCAGCCAACAGGTCACACTGCACTCAGGAACTTTAACTCCGTTAACTGCGGGAAGCAAAGTGAGGCATGTCCAAAATATACAATTAGCTACACATCATTAGGTTTATTTCTGGGACAGCATCACATTTGGGTGTGGTATCAACATGCATCTCATTTAATCAATCAATATCCAACACCAGAAAAAGTGTACTAGCACAGGGAAATGATTTATTATCCTAAAGCTTTTTTCCATAATTTTTCCCTACCCTCCACCCCTGAGACATTCTCGAGGGGAACAGTGACCCCTTTGAAAAATGTCCAATCATCCTGACACACCTGTTGCCCGACCTCATGGTGGTAAACAAGACCAA